AGGGAGCTTGCTTCGATGCAGAAGTAATCAGTTCTAGGTCTGTAAAGGGCCCCGCATAGGCGATAGGCAGCACTTGCGCTGAAATCTTGCCAAATCAATAGTAGAATTGCTGGTGTGCATCTTCGGCCCATTTGCCTCCACATGCATACCAAATTCTGGTGAGCTTTTGAGATGTAGGAGCAAGCGATAAACCCTGTCTCTCTTATGGGACCTCTAAACAGAAAGCGCTCAGGAGGCCGCCTGCTGATCCAGGTCTGCCGTCTCGCCGAAGAGACCATCCGAGAAAGCCACGGGATGAGGAACTGCCAAGCCTCAGTGGGTCACCGAAACCCTAAACCTGGGAATCCTAACCCTAAACCTGGGAATCACCTTACATACTCCTAAACTCTGGACCGGTGTAGTGTTCAAGGATTTTTAAGCCGCACTTTTTACCCTAGCCTAAACCCTAAACCCGGTTTAAACCCTAAGAACTGCTACAGTAAGCCGTTGCGCAAACCTGAAACCGAACATCGCCAAGGCTCTTGTGTTAACCTACGAAGACATACATTGACACTGATCCACCCTGAACCCAACCTATAAATCCTAAACCCCAAACCCTAAACCATAGCCCATTAACCTGCACCGAGAGGCTGGTAAAGCTTACCACTCGCCGGCGCCAGCGTTTCGAGCGTAAGAAAAGCCAGCTGATGACGGCGCCAATGTCGTGGGCAACGAGATGGAATCCTTACTTGGCTTTGCAGCTAAGGCGTATGGTTTCGTTTTCGGGAGTTCTGGCACATCCAAAAAATCAAACAAGGCATCAGCAAAACAAAAATCTCAGGGCCACATACTCCACTACTAAGACTCTTCTGAAGCCGAAAGCGTTTGCAAAACCGGCAACATCGCCCATCAGCTTCTTCACAGTATAGTCGTGCTGAGAGGGAGGAGACGCACCCGGCGAATATCCGCGCTGGTCGCAAGCAGCAGCACAGTAGCCAACGTCTGCCAACTCCTTCATCAAGTCCAACCAGGTCTCCTTTCAAACTTCTAGTGGGTTTGTATAAGATTGACTAGCATACTATCAGAAGGATTCTTGTAACTGTTTGGGGTTTCCTTTTGCTCTGCGATGTAGTTCTGCTTTGGCCGTCCAGCTCTAAGTTCTAACATATGTCTAGCACCCTGTAAAGACGAAACAAGACAACCAGCAACAAGGAAGTACAGTGAAGAGTATCGGCAGGCTTTGCCGGCTAATGTAGGAAGCTTAGCTGAAGACTTCCGCCGTGCTTTCTTGCATCATATGGAACTTTCCGAAAATTCGGGTACCTTATTTTGGGGTCCTTATAATAAGGATCCTTCTATTTAGGGTACCATATTAGGGTCCCCTATTTCGGAAACCCCCATATGGGGTCAGAAAGCGGCAACCCCATAGCTGGCTGGACAGGTACGTACCCTAAACCTAAGCCCGGAAACCGAAATCTCATAAACCCGATTAAACCTAAGGCTATAGACAGGAGATCACGCGTTGATTCTTGCCGCGTAGCCCTTTTCTGGGAACACGACTTGAACCCCTCCCCATCTCCTTCCACATCGGGAAGCCGTGAAGGAGAAGCACTTGCTTGCCACGCACCGTTCGAGAACAAGAAGATGGCGTCCAAGTGCAGCTGAACGAGAGGCCCCGAGTATGAATGGTGCGATTTGCAAGCGCCGATTCCTGTACCAGACCCAAAGCATCGGGAGCAGCTGACGTTCCCAATGAGCCTTGGTGCTGTATCAGCATGGACTCGTCATGCTGGTCTCCAGCATCCAGATTTGCCCTCGGTGTGCTGATAGCACATGCATCTTCCGTAATGGAGTGGCTTCTAGCAACATCAGCCCAAACGAAGGCTTGGACGAGCGCAGAAAACATCCGAAATCTGGGGTGGACTGCCATGCTGCGCAGCTACGGCAGACAGTAGCTCCGACAGTATCAGTAAACACCAAATTAAACCAAACAGCTAAACACCTCACAATCCACACCCTGAGTTCATGCATCCTCAAACAATGCTTTCATTGCATCCCCTGGAATTCAAACGGCCCTAAGTTCAATCACCGTTCGGGGTTCAATCGAAGCCCAAGCAGGAACAGGAACAGGTGGTGATGAATATGATGCTGCTGATGATCATAATCATTACGATGACGATGACGATAAAAAGGATGATGACGACGACGATGGCGATGGCGATCTCGATGACGATGACGACGACGATGATAATGACGATGATGGTGATGATGATGATGGTGATGAAGGGCGATGACGATGCTGAAGACGAAGATGAAGGTAATAATCACGATTGCGATGATGACAACGACGATGATGATGTTGTTGTCGGTGATGATGCTGGTGATTCCGATGGTGATGGAGATGGTGATGATGGTGATGATGACGATAATGATGACGATGGCCATGATGATGCCAATGTGATGGCGACGCTGAGCAAGAAGAAAACGATGACACGAAGCAGCAGGATTGTGTGGAACAAGACCAACTTGGATGTGATGTTCACAACACGGTGGCAATAGTTGGCGATGGCTTTACCAATCATCAGAACCTGCGGTGATGACGACGCTGCCGACCGTCGTCATCGCCAGGAGCCATGCAAACAAAACACTTGCTAACTTACTAGATAATCAAAGAAGTAAACAAAGCCATCGACATGCCAATCAATCAGGCAGATATGCTGCCAGTCAGCCAACCAGACAAATGCCAGGTAGTAAATAGGCAAACAAAACAACCGGGTTTCAGTCAACCAAACAAACCACCAATCAATAAAACAATCTATCAGTCAATCAACTACTCAATGAACAATCATAGCCCATACAATCCACATCACAGTTGAACGCACCATCATCTTTATCATGTTTCTAAATCCGAAAACCCTAAAGCCCTAAACCGTAAAACAAGTAAACCCTGAACTCTAAAAACTAGACCAAACAGGGCCCGACATGTACTAATAGTACGAATAACAACAATTAAAATACTAGTACTCTACTAATGATACATTCGAATAATACTAAAAATACGAATAGTACTGCTAATAATAGTAACAATAAAGAACAACAAAAAAAAAAGGACCAGGCTGATACTAAGAAGAAGAGTACTACAAAAGAGTCTCGCCTTTCTAGGTCCGCCTTCGGCTTTTCCGGGCTTCGCTCCTGCAGCAGTTCAATGGCCTCTGGGCCGGCCTGGGATACAGAAGTATCTTCTTCTTCTTATTATTATTATATATATATATATTATACCATTTCGAGTATATGAATATATAATAGTATAATGTAAATATACTATGGTAAAATGTAATATATCACCGTATATTATAATACATTAAAGGGTATACCATAGTATAAGATAGTAAATCAAAATAACTTTCGCTGGATGAAACCATACTATACCATGTATGCCGAAACCTTGCTATAATCTCTCTGACCCCTCACTGTACCCTAAACCCCACAAGCCCGAAGCAAACCCTAAAGCCGACGTAGACTCTATCCCTCACTAGCCGAAGGACTGGATACCGAAAGGTGCTCCTTGCCGGAGTCGGGATTCCTCTGAGAGAGATCTTTGAGAGCCCCAATCAGAAGGCAGCAGAAGGATTCGGTGTACCCTAAAGTGTTCCAGCACCCAGATGATAGAGTCTTCGGGTTTAAGTACCAAACCCTTTCAGAATGCAGAGACAGCCCAGGCTGACTATTGGGGGGGGGGGGGGGGGGGG